ATGCATCCTTAGATGTATCATCCATGCAAGATTGGTCATTTAAGAACACATAGTTACTTGGAAATGAAACCTGCACCAAAAACTTTGACCTGTTCACTCAACCGGAAAATGTAGGTCATATTCAGCATCCGAAGCAAGCCTGGTAGTATGCATCCTTAGATATATCATCCATGCAAGTTTGGTCAACATAGGGCTTATAGTTACTTGGAAATGAAACCTGCACCAAAAACTTTAACCTGTTCACTCAACCGGAAAATGTAGGTCAGATTCAGCATCCGAAGCATGCCCGGTAGTATGCATCCTTAGATGTATCATCCATGCAAGTTTGGTCAACATAGGTCTTATAGTTACTAGAAATGAAACCTACACCAAAAACTGCACCAAAAATGTTAATCTGCTCCAAAAACATTAACCTGGTCATTCCTTTGCTGAAATTGCAGCATCTGAAACTTTGACTGGTATAATGAAACACACTAGAACATCTTCCATGCATGTCTAATCAATATAGGACATAGAAGTACTTAAAAAGAAAACTGCTGCAAAAAACTTAACCTTAATCTGGGACGCCGACGCCGACGCCGAGGGTATTACATAAGCTCCTCCAACTTCGTTGAGGTGAGCTAAAAAGGGGGGTAGACGATATTTTCTAGTGAAATCGAACTTTCAAGAATCACCATATTTTGAAATAGTCTTAAATTTGAAAAAAAAATATCTCATATCTTTTATTATGTTTTACGCAAATAAATAAAACGTATATGAAATAATAATATACAATTATTTAGTTGTAAATAGCTTTAAAATTGGTGAAAAATCAGTATTTTTTTCGTTTTTTATATATAAACATATGTTCCCCCCTCCGTGAAACACAAAAAGCTTTGACATAAATTTGTAAAATGACAGTCCATATTACCTGTAAAAAGGAATTTTTGTTTCAAGGGGGGGGGGAGATGTTTTAAAAATATTTTCCGTTTTCCGTTGATTTCTATAGTGAAAAACACAAGTTTTACCAAAATTATAGAGTTATCTCTCTTTGGTATTCCAAATAAGTAACGTTTTATGAAAATTCATATAAATATCTATAAAAATTTTGAAAATCATTTGAATATGTTAATTTTTGAAAATTGACTTAGAGGTAGGCGGGAGAACAATACTATCGTTCGTAGTTCTTTCTATGTTTTAAATTTCAATAGAGTATGTTTATTGCTTTTTCCTTAATAATATTTTTATTACCCCTTTCTTTAAGAGCTACAGATTATCATAACTTCAAAAACACACTGCAACGACGTCAACCTACCTATCAATTGCAAAATCGGTTAAAAAAACAGTTATATAAAATTGTAATTAAATTTTTTATACCTATAACTTCTTAATTTTGTTCAATTTTAATAATTAAGCAAAAAAAGTTGCATTAAACAGTAATTACGCTTCATTTTACTATAATGCGCGAAATATTGCGCAATGGAAACTATAGTCGGCCCCCTTAAACCATAACATTTTAAATTTTTGTCAACGTGATACGTAAGGAAAACGTAGGTAATGATTAAGACTCAAAAAATTGATTTGACCTTTATCATTCCTTTAATGTTTAGGTAGTGATGCCTTAACTTTTGATAAATGGGTTTTACAAAGAATATAAATATTGGCTTTCTAACTTGATGGTGAACTGTTTGCATTCACTTAAAGATCTCATTGAATTGAACACTACAATTTTAAAATCATGATTTGAAATCAGCTGTTATATATAATGACCGTTCAGGTATGGTTAATGGAGTAGGTATTTACTGAGTGTTCATTTATAGACTTAGCTTGTACAGCCTCCGGGAACGCATCGGATAGATTTAATGTTAAGTGTAAATTTCCACGAAATTTACTCTCGCCATGAAATTTACTCTGATACATTCCTACAACAATACTCAAGAAAGGGTCTTCAAAGGGGAGTGAACACCTAAAGCTCGGGGATACGTACACTTCATTATTTTGGTCTTTTTTTTATCTTTCTGAGGTCCATTGCAAAATATCTGAGTAAATCTATACCTTCTATTGAAAGTAGATTTCTGTTTTTCTGGATGCATTGTATAATTTTTTAAGGTATACCTTTACTTAGATGTCAAAAATATCTACAGATAAGAAAATATCCACCTATTGCACATTGTGCACCTATAATTCTTGTGTTACATTTCAATTTCAAATTACCAGGTCAATGACATACTTTTCATGATAGTGGTCCCTGGGTATTTCTCAGAAAGAAACGTCAATTTTTCACATTATGACCAGTTTCTCTTTACTCACATAACATTACAAGCAACAAAACTCTTTTCACAATGAAATATTATATGAACGGAACAGAGTTGCCTCGGACTAATTTTTGTTCATATTTTTGAATTTCTTTATTTCGATAAGCTTTAACACACATGATATTTGCAAAATGATGTTTAAAAATACATATAACATTTACATTGTAATTGATATTACAAAAATTAGAAGAAAAACAAAAATGAAAAAAAAATAAGTAAGAATTTTTTGTTTTAATATATATTGACTTTTGTTCTTGTGTATTTTATAAATTTTCCTTTCTGTCTTCTGAAACATGAGTAAACGTCCTCCTTAAAGTAAATTACATTTTGTCCCCCAAAAGTTCTTTTGCTAAATAAATGCTCTTATAAAAACTAAAGGTGTTCTTTATGTCAGAAAGCTTTATAATATAAACAACAATTAGAAAACCGGATAAGAAATTCCGTATGGTCGCAACGGCCACTGAAATATTGAATATTTCAGTGGCCGTTGCGACCATACGGACTTTCTTATTCAGTTTTCTAATTTGTGCAAAGAAAGGTGAGTCCGACTATAAACCCCTTTGTTTTCTACTGATTCATGTATCTACAAACTGTTGATTCTGAAAATTTCAAAATCCTTGCACTTTCTAGATTTATTTCCCATAATGTACATCTAAAATGAAAAGTTTTGTTTTTGCTCCTTCTTTTCTTTCAACTTAACTCCGGATATACACTTCATTACTGATGATGTTAATAAAGAATAACATGTAGACTATATCACTAAATGTTGGAGTACATCTGACATGAAGATGTTTCTCATCTTCAAGTAATGATACTCACTAAAAGGAAAGTAGATTGCTTAGATCATCAAAAGTTTAATTGGTAAAGTCAATTTATCAAATGAAACACTACTTCTTCTTCATCAGTATTTTAACAACAAATTATAACCTCTATTCAAAACTGTATATATTATCATAACTTAAAGGGGAAAAGCGTTTCAAGAAAAGTGAAAGGTAATTGACTACTTCGAATGAGACAATGGGATTGTGAAGTATTTAAACGTTTACCTTACAGTTATTATGATTCGATGGAGTGTATGCGGTACAAACATTTCCCCTAATAATAAATATATTATAACAAATAAACAATTAAAAGTTTCAGTTAAAAAATTGAGTCGAGAGAGAGGTACGAAAAAATTTCAATTCTCAAGACTTCACATACACTTCATTTTAGCGATAGGCTTGTCCATTCAAATTTGGTTTATAAGTCTCATATCTGGTGTAATATTGTCTCATAGTTAACAAAAATGTATGAATGGATTATGAAGCTGTCTCATATACTCATAGTACAGTTCAGGCTTACAACCCAAGTTAATTTTAAATGTGGTATCAAATAAATGATTGATTGTATACTGTTTAACGTCCCTCTCCAGAATATTTCACTGATATGGAGACGTCACCATTGCCGGTGAAGGGCTGCAAATTTAGGCCTATGCTCGGCACTTACGGCCTTTGAGCAGGGAGAGATCTTTATCGTGCCACACATGCTGTGACACGGGGCCTCGGTTTATACGGTCTCATCCGAAGGACCGCCCCATTTAGTCGCCTTTTACGACAAGTAAGGGGTACTGAGGACCTATTCTAACCCGGATCCCCACGGCAATGGTATCAAATAAAGATGCTCCGTCATGGAATTTACAAAACGAGGATGAAGAGAGCTAGAAGATTTTTTTTCGTTAAAAATGATGTTTAAGCTTTTCTTTCACTCATCAGAATTTTTGGGTATATTTTTTTTTTCGAAATTATATTAACTTAGCCAAAACCAAATTGTGAAATCCATTCCCCATTAAAGGCTGATGATTCGGGACCCAGCGTGGGACTAAGCAGTTCATAATACAGAAAGCACATACATGTAAAAACTCTGGGGATATTCGGCCTTAATAAAAAATATCTAGCAGGCAAACAGTTAGCATGATTGTAACAGAACATAAATTCCTTACGAAAAACAAACTCCATGGCCCTTTACATCTAAGTTTAAGAATCTGGTGTGGGGCTAAGTTCGTCAAAAAATTCTAAAAAAAAAAAACACAAAATATTCGCTCCACAAAAATACCCTACTGTACATTATAAGAGAGATTTTTTCCTATTGTACACACGATGAATAAGTGTAATAAATATACTTTGTGAAAAAAAAGATATCCAATAAGATCTGGGATTGAATATCGGAGTTGGTGGGATTCCTGTCCACAAGTACCTGTGACTCTAACATTATTAATAAAAAAAATATAACCTCTCAGTGATATTAATTTATTTCAGATTCAAAATAAAAAGAGATTTATATACAAAATGTAATTGATATGTAATTGAAAAGTAATGTGTCATTACTGACATTTTTTAAAGTAATGCATTACATTACAATTACTTGTTTTTGAAAGATGGATCCATTATACATCACACCACATTACTTTGAAAAAAAAATTATTACAATGCATTACCATTAGATATTGCCATTACTCTGAGTCTTGAAAGCATGCTATTAAGAATTAATATTTGTTTATATTAATATGAATATATCATGAAACTTTTTTATCAACAAATAAGCTCTCAACTATTAATTGATAAAGAAACATTTCATTTATTCTAGCTTTTTAATTTTATTTTTATATAGCCATTTTAGACTATATTCCTCTCCTTTAGAAGAAGAGCTATATATAAAAATAGTAGAGCATATGTATAACCCAATATAAACATGACGTAGTACGGAGTAAATGTTCTTACATTTCATTTTTTCTTTGGTACATTTCTTCTTTTTGGTCCATTTGGTCGATAGTTTTGCTTCCCACGAGGAGTTTTTTGGGCTTGTAGTTTCCCAGGCTTTGAAGCAGTTCTCAACATATTTATGATATTTTCATTTTTGGTGAGTCTTATTGCTGTTTCGCCAACGGAGTTTTTTATTTCAATACTAGCATTAGCTCTGATCAAGCATGCCACGACGTCTTCAAAGCCTCCCCTGACCGCTTTATGTAATGGTGTATCGCCCTCTTTATTGTTCTTGTTTAAGCATTTGGTATGCCTCAATAGACATTGAACAACATGTAAGTGGCCACTTCCTGAAGCAATGTGTATCGGGGTATTTTCATTTTTGTCGCATTTATCAATCATACCTAAACCGTTTTGATCTGAAATCAAATATTCAACGATACTCAAGTATCCATATTTGGAGGCTAAATATACAGCAGATTCCTTTTCTTTTGTAATAACTTTACTAATTTCGGCTTTCCATTCTAAAAGTTCCTTTACTATTTCTTCATTTCCTTTAAGTATTGCTATCGTGAGGGGGTAGTTTCCATTGGATATCTTTGCTTTATTATTTAACAAAATTCTGACAACTTTTATGTGATTTTCCAGGCAACCTAAATACAACGGGGATTGATTTGATTTATTCAATTTGTTAACATCAGCTGCATTTTCACACAGGAGCTCAACCACGGACGAAAAACCATTTTTAGCGGCTACATGTAAAGGTGTTTGCTTTTCTTTTTTATCACATTGGTTTACATCTGCCTTATATTGCAGTAACAGTTTTACTGTTTCGTGGTGACCGTGTAAAGATGCAACATATAAAGGTGGATTTGAGGCATCATTTTTCAGAGATGCACCGTTTTCGAGAAGAATTTTAACAAATTCAACTAATCCTAGTTCAGACACTAGACGAAGAAGTGATTTTCCCTCTACATATTCATTGACATCTGCTCCATGTTTAGTAAGGAATTCTGCACAATTAATCTGTTTATTTTCGATGGCAACTGAAAGAGGTGATCCATATTTTGCCGAACCTCTGTTTACTAAATGACACGAAAAGACTAGTTTCATGATCTCAAAATTGTTATTTATTACTGATGCTAAAAGAGGGGTTACTCTTGTGTTATCCTCAAGTTCTTTATTAGCATTATTTTCTATGAGAAGCTGTACAATGTTGAAATCATTGTTCTCTATTGCTAATAAAAGTGGAGTTTTTTCGTTATTGTCAAGTTTGTTTACATTTGCTCCATTTGTTACCAGAAGGGAAACAATTTTAAATTCACACTGTTGACAAGCGATATGAAGGGGTGTTTTTCCCTCAAGATCCATTGGATTCATTGACGGATTGTTCTCCAAAAGGACTCGCACAGTTGATAAATTTCCATTCATCACTGCTATGTGAAGAGGTGTGTGTTTTTCTAAATTTGAAGAGTCTATTTCTGCTCCCTTTTTCAAAAGAGACTGAACAATTTCAACTTCATTTAGCATCGAAGCAATTGAAAGAGGTGTATTTGACGATCTATTGTTCACATTTACGCCAGCATCATTCAGCATTAAAACTTCGGCAACTCTTTTATGTTTTCTTTTAATTGCAATTAGTAATGGTGAATCGCCATTTTTATCGCATTCGTCAATATCAGCACCCTTTTTTATTAGTATTTCCACAGCATTGATATGGCCGTTTTCGGAAGCAACAAACAACGGCGACTTATTATCTTTATCACATATGTTTATGTCAACTCCTGCGTCAATTAAGACTTTCATAATATTTGCATATCCTTTGATTGAAGCCTCAAATAAAGGTGTAATACTACTGCAATCACGCTTGTTGATATTAGCTTTCATTTTTATTAAATGATTTACAATTTCTTCATGACCTCTACTACAAGCCACGTGAAGAGGATTTTTTTCTTCAAAATCACATTCATTTACATCAGCATTTTCAAAAAGGTGAAGAATTTCTAAATGTCCTTCAGATGCTGCTGCGTGAAGAGGAGTCATTCCCTTTTCACATCTCCTATTTACCTCTGCATTCTTCTTCAACAAAGATCTAACAGCACTTGAATGCCCGTTTTGTGCGGATAAGTAAAGAGGGGTATTATTTGTTGAATCGACCTTATCAACTTCAGATGATTTACTAAGAAGATATATAACAACATTGGTATGACCATTCTCAGCCGCCAAATGCAATGCACATTTTCCGTCACGGTCAACATGGTTTATTTCTGTACTGTGTTCGAATAGAAATTGAACAAGTTCTAAATCACCTTCATATGATGCAGCAAGTAAAGGCGACACAGAATTTTCATCACTTTGATTAACAGATGCTCCAGATTTAATCAAGATTTTCACCATATCGAATGTCCCATGAAAGCACGCTTCCACTAAAGGAAGAAGAGGCCCTCTAGTATTCAAACAACTTGGTTTGAAGTTGGAATCGATTGAATCAAACACATATTTGAACATTTCCATGTTTCTACTGTATATTGCAATTATGATACTGCGTGAACATTGTAATTTATAATGGTCAAATATGCTATATGAATTTCTATACATTTGATTTACTCTAGTTTGAATGTGTTTAATCAAATGCACAAGTCCACAAAGTATGACAAAATCAATAAGTATAAATTTTTTACTTATATCTAAAAATGCAGCTGTTTGTCTGTTATGTTTAATGTTTATAAAATCTTTTCTGCTAAGATGGATTTTAAGAAAATTCTGTTCCAGTGTCTGAAAATCAAGCAATGTTCTTTTAAACTCGCTCATAAAGTTTTCATCCCTGAAGGACTTGTTTTCAAACAATTCGTATCGTTTATTTTTATATATTTCGACCTGGAATCGTTGAGCTAAATCTTTGTTTTTTTCAAAAGGTAAAGTTATGTTTCTATATGACTTAATATTTAGAGTTGGTACCAAGTTAACTTCAACAAATGTTTTGATGTAGTCCAGTGGCATGTAGTTAAGAAAAAAGTCAGGGTCCTTTTCAAATAGAGAATGTTCAAGTGCTGCTTGAAATTCCACATTAATAAATGATACCCCATTGTCTTTAAATGAAAGAAAAGTATCTGCCATCTCTTCTTTTGTCATCCTTATTTCTTCTTCCGAACATTGGTTTTCTCCTGTTGTCTCCTTTGCATCGGTCAATATTTCAGAATTTGATGTAGTAAGATAAATCAAAATCTTAAAATAGCTCCAGTATTCATCACGAAGTATTCGCATTTCATGTAAATATTTACGGAATAAAAGATATGAGTATTTTTCTTTCGGATTTTCATTATCTTTTATATTCGATTCAAGCTCTGTGCAAAGTAAAGGAAACATTTCCATCGTCGAGGTTAAAACAGCGTCAAAGGAATTCTCACGTACATGCTCTCTGAGTATTCCAGTTTTGTCGTTCATGTCGTATTTGTTTTCATTTATATCAATTATCTTTGCATTTTGTATAAAAGTTCCGAATTCCTTATTGCGATTTCGAGCATGTAGATAAGATGTTCTTCTTGCTGTGATTATAAGTTTTACGTTTTTTGATGATTTAGGAAATAGGTTGTTAAAGGCCAATATGACACGGCGCCACTGTTCATCTGAATACACTTCAGACCAATTTGTTATTAAAATAACTTGTCTTTGAGAAGGCTCGATTTTAATATCTCCAATATGAAATGGTGATGACCTTATCTCTTTCCATCCTTTTTTCATTAAATGCCTAGAGAGTTGGCGTGCATATGTTCGTTTTCCACAGCCGGGGCCACCAATCAATACGAGTATCGGTTTAGAATCCAAAGAATCCAAGGCTTCTAACGCTTCTTCATATAAGCGAGTTTTATAAAACTTCACTTCAAATTGTGTGTCTATAATAAAAAAAATCAAATCAACATAATGTTTTAAGTAAGTCTAGCAGATTGAGTAGGTGAAATTAGACTTAATCAGCATAAGTTGGAAATCAGTTAAAAGTCAAGCTCCTTATGCATAAATTATCACATTTTTCCAATTATCGTTGATTACCCTGGCATATTCTACATGTAACTAGACAGTGATTCCTTATATTTCCATTTTATTGAGAAATAAAATGGTAGATTTCATTTTTAAAAATGTAGTCTAATAGATTTAAACACGAAGCCTCCCATGTCAATTGCAATAGTCCCCGCCCACTGAGGTCAAACACAAAGACAGTCTCACGAGATTTACTTGTATAATAGGCCTCCTTAGTTTCTGACCTATCGCTTGGTGAAATTTACATTCCGGTAGAATAATACAGAAATCAACTCAACTAACTTTTAAAGAGTTATCAAAGAGAAAATAAACAGAGAATATATAATGTCGTAGGATAATATAGGATATTTACCAGTTAATTATATACAAGGGTAATGCAATAAAATAACTATTCGCAGAGCATTCGTCTATGGTGAATAGCGACTTTGTATTAGTTATCAAATATTTGCCCAAGGATTCAAATTGCGAGCATTTTCAAGGGTCCACAAAACAATGAAAAGTTAGAAAAGTTATTTTTTATGGACATCTGCGGAATATCAGATAGTGCACTATACAGACTAAAATAATATGTGAAGAATCTTTAAGTAACCTTTGTATATGAATTAAAAGTATATCTAAAATATATTACTCTTACATGACATTACTGCAACTAAAAAGGACATTTTGTGGGGCAACTTGACTTTCAATGAACATTTTTATAAAAAAAAAAAAAAAAAAAAAGTATGTCTGTAAAAGTTCCCCCCCCCCACCGATGATGTGTTATTATACAATTATCGACCCTCTTGTGAATATCAAACCATATTCAACACGAAGAGAGTCCATAAACGTTTTGTTATATAGTCCAGATTTGAATAAATTACACTGCGGCCATATATGAATAAATATGTAGTGTTATGAACTGTTTGCGTTTGTATATATTACGAGTATGTAGGGACTAAACATAGACTATATTATAATACTTGATATTTTTCTTTTTTTTATACCGCTCCCTATGAAATGTTCGACTTTCGAAGTCTGAGGTCCGAAGTCCGCTTTAGATTTATAAGTTTGATTTACAGAGTTGTATGTAAACAGTTTTAATTTTTATTTTCATAAGATATAAAGAAATATTAAAGGCATAACGGTTACAATACTTTTGACTAACTTACTTTAAACCAACTTTTATTCGCGTGCGAGAAATGTACGCGAGTTTCGCGACCTACTTTAACTTTGAATATTAATCGTCGCGAACCATTTATTTTGCTTTGTATTTATTTCCTCAGTCGAGAAAATTAATCATCGCAGAATGATTTCAAACTGACGAATCGCGAATAAGATGTGACGCGAATAACAGTTGGTTTACAGTATTTGAAACTTACTTTGAAAAGTTTGTTTCTCTTCCATTTTTGTTTCTCCCGTGAGATTGAGCATAGTTTGCGTCACTTCCCTTTTAATGTCCCCAATTGTACTTTCTGAACGAAGATGAAGAAAAACTTCCTCCACAGCCGTTTTTCCTTTTTCGTCTGGCAATGTTTTTGTATACGAATGGAATATTTCTTGTTTATCCTCAAAAGACGGTTTCATTTCAGAAATTCTTGCTTCATCATTTATGCTAAGAAGACGACTTTCTAATTGTTCAAGTGTTTTAAAATAGACGGTGCCTCTTCTATTGCATATATCTTTAATAACAGCCCACGAATCTTCATAATTTTCCTGTGAAATCTTAGTTGTCGGAATATGAGAAAACATTTTATTTTTTAAAATTCTTATTCGTTCAATATCATCCCCAAGTTCTATAGCAGACGAGTTTGGATTAACTCCCCACTTTTCTGTTGGTTGTACAGTGGTCAAATGCTTTATTAGTGTGTAGAGTAAAGTAATATCAAAGTCTTCATATGCTTTTTTCTGTTTCTGTCCTGCGCTATAAATTTTATCATATTGCTCCGCTTGTAATCGTAATTCATTTTTAGACGAAGTATCCAAATATTTTTTTACATGGCGACTTATTGATGAGGCTGGTACGTGTAATGACAAGACATCTCTCAAAATCTGTGTTAGTATATCAACAATTGCAATCGCCAATCGGAAAAAATTCAAGGAATCTGATTCGGAATCGTTTCCCATCGTTGAATAAAAAGGCTAACACTGCAAGATAGAATTAATTCTTTATAACATGTACATTAACAACATTTATGCATATAGCTAATTTTCTTTTTTCCGTCTTCTTTTTATAATCTATGCTACTTTTTAAATCAACATTTTAAAAACTTACGACTTTTCAACTTTATATACAACCATTCCCCACGATAAATTATATCCAGGCTTTTTTATATCATTGACAGCTGCTTTTTCAATAAAAGTGGAACTCGTAAATTTACTTACCTGATCATTGGTCATTTGCAAAATTATTTTGTTAAAAATCATTCTGATTGCACACACAAGTACTCTGAAGTTGACATCAAAGAGATGCTTGAGTTTCTGATTGACAATATCTATGAAGGTATTCGAACAATCTATTGGAATTCCCATGGGTACCAATTGCGCTCCGTTATTAGCGGACCTATTTTTATATTCATATGAAGCAGAATTTGTGCACAATCTTATGCGTGAAAAGAAGAAAACATTTGCTGTGGCCTTCAACTCGACATTTAGATATATCGACGACGTATTGTCAATTAACAAATGTAGTTTCCGTTCCTACGTCGATACGATATATCGACGAGCTTGAGATAAAAGATACCACAGAGTCTGACACATCTGTTTCATACTTAGATATTTTACTTTAAAAAGACGTTAATGGTAATCTAACAACCAAGCTATATGACAAACGTGTTGACTTTAACTTTTCTATCGTCAATTTCTTTTACTTATGCAGCAATATACCTTCATCACCTGCATACGAAGTGTATATATCTCAGTTGATTCGATACGTTGATTGCTTTGCTCCTGTTTTGTATTGTTTTTATGGACTTCGATATTGAATACTGTTCGTTATCTCCAAATCCTTCTTGAAAAACTTTAATGATATCATAAACATCATATACGCCAAATTCATAAAAATGAGCTAAACATAGTTTAACAGTTGATAAACTAGGTTTATCGACTGTAAACTTTAGTTTACAAACCGTGAACTATAGTTAACAATTTGTTAACTTTAGTTTTCATTTGTAAAACTATATTCAACGGTTGTTAACTACATGTATAGGTTACGAATGATAATATAAATTTATCTGTCTGTAATAAAACGTTAACAATAGAATTTGTTGAAAAACATAGATTTACGTCCATAAACTATAATTTACAATCGTGAACTATTGTTAAGATTTGTTAAGAGTTGTAAACCAGGGTTTACAAGTCGTGAAACTGTATTTATCAGAAAATCAATGTTTTGCAATCGGAGATGATTGTTTTCTGTGTTAAATATAATTTACGGTTCTGAAACATAGATTATCGCGTTAATTATGGTTTACAGATATAAATTATAGATTAACGTCGTTAAC